CATAATTTAGTTCAACACCATACGTTATGAAACTATCATGTAGAAAACAGAATATGAGCCTTTACAATAGATTTGAAAACTGGTCTTTGGGGAGACACAGAAAATGCCAGGTCAGAGGAATGCCTTAACTAGTTTTGTCACATATAAAAAGCCACAGACAATCGTGTTTAAAGAGGCACTAGAGTAACATGAGAGGCAACCAGAAGAGCTGAGTGAATGCCCAGAAGAACAGAGAACCCTCACATTCAACACAGGGAGAACTGGGAAACCGCAATTAGAAGAGAATATTGAAAGGATGAGTGCTATACTCACAAATGTGAAGGAAAGTAAATTTGGGGGCAATAAAGGGACACAAACTTTCTGCTCATTAGTTTGTTTGTTTGTCTTTTTGAGACAGCATTTCTCTATGCAGTTCAGGCTGGCCTTGAACTGACTTTGTAGCCCAGACTGGCCTCAAACTCCCAGTGACCTTCCTGCCTCAGCCTCCCAAGCATACACCACCACACCCGGCTGAACTTTCTTGACTAGAATAGATGGCCCTGTAAAGCAGGATGCCAATCAAGAGAAAGGTCAGACCTCTTAAGAAGGTGATAGTGATGAGGAATGAACTGTATAGATAATTCAAATAGAGTTTCAAAATCTGTTCCAATCAGAGATCTTGTAACTCTCTCCTGTAATTAGAAACTTATTATCATTGGGTAATTCCCTCAAGCAAAGTCACAATATAGGATAGAGGTGTTAAAGCTTTCTCCCTGTGAAATTTCCATGCATCAGTACTGGTATGGTAGGCATGTTTCTAAAAGATAACTACATGCAATCTAAAGGTCTTATAAATTCTAGGTGTCAAAGAAATCCTGCTTTTGGTTCTGTCATTAAACTATATAACCTTGGACAGGTTACGGCTTCCCTAGATCTCAGAGGAACTCAGGTCTGGGGTAATATTCTCACCTCTCCCAGCATCACTATTTTTAAGGTGGTGATGGTTAGAGCAGCATAGTGACTGCATGGCTCTACGGCATTTATGAGCCAGGCAATTAGCGAACGTCCTGTAACACCCACAATGCCAGCACCCTTTCAATGAGAAACGCAGGTCAGATGAGTCATAAATTTCTTTTCAACACAAACTTTGTGGGGTTTAAAACTCAGTAAGTTTTAGTTAGTAACAGTTCTTCTTACCTAAAACATAGTGAAACATCATTTTCTCTCTATTCTCAATAGTTAATATGGACTACACCACAACCAATTATTGACAGACTGTGGGGGCGGTGGTGGTTCTTAACTGGAAATTCAACCCAGGGCCTCATGCCAATTAGGCAAGCACTCTTACCACTGAGCTACATCTCCAGGCCCTCTTCAAATTTTGAGACAAGTTCTCCCAGAATTGCCTAAGCTGGCCTAGGACCTGTGATTGTTCTGCCTCAGGTTCTCAAGTGCAATAGCTGGGTTTACAGGTGTGTGTCGCTGTGCCCAGGGGCAGGAAGCTTCTGTTGTATGTAAACAAACAATACTGCTTTTAATGCATAGAGGTCAAGAGATTTGCATCTGGATAAAATTCAAATAACTAAATTATGGACCCAAGACAGCAGTAAGGAAGTTAATGAGTTGGTCTGTGAAAGAACAGATTTAGTTTCTAAAGTCTTGGGTGTTTTTTCTTATTACTGATCCACTGGTACCTAAGTCTTTACCTGGTTATTAGGTGCATTTTCTTTTTTCCTTTTTTGGTACTGAGGACTGAGTCCAGGGTCCCAGGCTTGCCAGGCAGCAGCTCTACAGCTGAGCTACATGCTTACCCTTCACTAGGTACATTTTCATCAAAAGAAAAATGTTACTTATAACAGCTACCAGAAATACTAGGTCTTTCAGAAGGAAAAAGTTAACAAATGTCTCAATAGTTAAACTGCTCAATAGGTATTAATCAACATCTGAGTTTTAATTGCTTTTGACACTTCTATACACAAAATTATAGTTAGGAATTAAAGGCTATTCTCTCTTTAACATACCAGAATTGTTTGCTACTTCTTTTAAAAAAATCACAGGTATATTCCCCGGCCACCCCAAATCTGTGGTTTCTATGTTTTCTTTACATTAAAACCCAGGCTGGCCTCAAACTCCAGGTGATCATCCTTTCTCAGCCTCTTGAGTATTGGAATTACAGGTGTGTGTCATCACACCCGCCTCCAAGAGTTTTTAATTTTGAAGAAAAAGAACTGTAATTTTCCTTTGTTTTCATTAGAGCATTAAGAGTTAAATATTTCATATAACTATACTACAGAAAACAGTAATTTTACAATATAAAGTTAATATTTACACTTGAGACCCTGGTACAAAATCTCCAGAAACAAAAATAAGTCTCTTTTATGTTTACATGAAATAATTTACAGGTCCACATAATATTCAAGGATCCATATGCTTAAATAAACAGATTCTTAATATGACCCCTTAAAAAAACAATTTTAAAAAAACAATATAAAACTCTTCAGAAAAGCTCAGCAAATATTAATGCATCTACACTGCCATCTGATACCATTTTCTACAAACTGCTAATGAAGTCTCTAAACAACATAGTTTTTCAGTGTTAAAAGAACAAGAAAATCGGACAAAAAAGAACCAAGCCCCAACAAACTCGTGTTTAGTTTCTTATACTATATAGGGAACTTATTAATTTCATGAGGAATATGAAAGGACTGGTAAATTATTTTAATATTCAAATTTAAAAATCTGATTAGAAAATACAAATATAGAAGGAATTGACATTTCAAGGAGATAAGAAAATTACTCTTCTACAGAGATGTGTATCTTCCGTTCTAAGAGGCCAAAATATACATGCTGACTTAGCCAAGAACTGCCAAGACTTTAGTACATTTAGAGAACGTGAGACAGCAAACTCAAATCTATGAAAACTGTAATCCTCACCATTTATTTGTGTTTCCATGGCTCAAAGGGTCAGAAATAAGGCGACAGTTTATATTTCTTTGGCAGAGATAAATATAATTCACTATATAGAACTTCATATTTCAAGGGAAACTTCAAATCCAGCAGCTAACAGCTTGTCTCTATTTGCTGTCACTCTAGATCAGACAAACCCACACATTTTTTCTCCCTCCTCCCCTTCAGTTACACTTGAGCTCTCTGACTGAAAAGGTCTGGAACAGATTAAAAGTTGGGCCACAAAATAAAAAGCTCTGGCGTGCTGTCAAGCTGGTCTGGAATACACATACACAGTGGGCCCAGAAAGGGAAACCGAATGCAGTGAGAGAACTTCATGAAACTTTCCTGGGCATATCTTAATTGTGTGCTTTGTGTGTATGTGTGCTGGAGGGGGGCAGAAATTTAAAAAAAAAAAAAAAAAAACTTACACCTCAAAACAAAAGACCAAGCTATGAGTGTAACCAACAGACCTATATAAGATTACAGCGATGCTATTTCACTTGCACTGAAAATATCTTTTTTTAAAAATGTATTTTTAAAAAGCTTTGCTTTCATTCTTACCCTGTGCCGTTAACAGCTACTCACTATCTTTTAGAACCTTGTTGGGGCGGGGGATCTCTAAAATTTCCAAAACATGGATAAGTAAAATTTATTTCATTAAATATGATTTAAGGAGACATGATTGTTATCGTCCTAGCCCACAAAAATGGCAACATTTATTAAGTTTGCTAGTACTTTGCTTCTTGCTTCAACCACAGAGGCTTGTTCAAGTACTAAACAGAATCTAAAGTTGCAAATTATTAACATGACACATTACTTTTTAAACATCCAAACAAATCTTGAAGCTCAAAAGGCTGGCATTTAAGCCAAACCGGGTATCTGTCAAAATGACGGTCTCTGCCCTGACCCCACCTTTGACTTTACTTTGAATAATATCGGGTTCAGTAAGTCCATAAAAATGACCAGTCAGGAATTTTGAGGTAACTGTTTGGGGCCGTTCTGGTTTTTGTTTTGTTTTTAAGGTATACCTAAGACATAGGAGAAGTGTTCATAACGCTCCTGGCGGGGAAGTTATTTTATCCAACTAGCTCCAGATAGCTCTCCTTTTCTCCCCCACCCAGGACTGTGTTTTCCCGGCGTTCACAGAGCTAGCTCCTCTTTCCCCGGAGGGCCCCGCGGTTGTTGTCAGGTCAGCCCCTGTGAAGCTTCAAAGGCTCCGCATCCCTCAGTCCGACCCACTCAGTGATCTACACACTGTTTTCATTTAGTTGCGTCTAGTCCAAGATGAGAGCTTCAAAACCACAATTATCTGCTTCTTTTTAAATTCATTTTCCATGGCTTTGGAAAAATATCTCAGAAACCCGACTGAAGCAACTGAAATAGTAAGAAAATATGGATAGAAAGGCACTGAAATAACTTGTACACTCATCAAAATGTACACATTTAGGAGGGAAGAGTTCTGTGAAAATGGTGATTTTCTTATGTAACTTAGAAGGAAATATGGTTTACTTTTTGTTTCCTACATAAAAAGTAAAGAACCCTTCCTTTACCAAAAAAAAAAAAACACAAAAAAAAGCCAACAGAGAGGAGGGAAAATGCTTTCATCAGACCATTCCTAGGGTGACCCCCCCCCCCATCTAGAACGGGAAATCCTAGCTCCCCCAGGCACTTGACGGTGCTCGGCATTCTCAGAAGTTAAGCGCAAGCAGACACCAGGTCCCTTGCAAAAGCTGATGTTCTACATTTTAAATGCTGTATGACAGCCTGATTGTTACTACAGTTATAAAGATCATTTTCAAAAGGTTGCTGTGCTCCTCCTCCGAAATGTCAGTGATTCTGGTTAGTCAGCTACTATGACACTCCCCTTGCCCGACACAGGCTAAAAAGCAGATTTAAACCTGAATTTCTCAAGGTGAAAATGAAAGATAAAAAAACAGTACTGGGAAACACTGGGTAGGCAGTTATATTTTAGTACTATGAGTTAATACAATTTTATTTAAATGTTTTCTAAACTCAAACACAAAAAATAGTATTTAAAAAATGTCAATAAAGGTTTTGAGATGAACCTTTACCAAAACGAGGGTCAAGTCTTGGGTCTAGCCAAGAAGTGGTCTTGTTCTTATGGTTTATATAGTAAATTTCTCCATCCTGAGTCATGGCTTGTTCCCATCCATCAGGAAGAGGACCTACAAAAACAGAAAAAAAAGGAAAAAAAAAAAAAACATGGTTGGTTTTGATTTGGTATACTTAAAAAAAGTAGGAGGCGGCACTAATTTAAAAATACATCTTGATATAAAACAATTCATTAAAACAGATTTAAGTCTGTGTTCAGAGAAGGTAAATCCATATACCTGGCTCTTCTCCCCTAAAAAGAAACTGCTAAATAGTAAAAAACAGCATACCCAAAGACACAATGGGGGGCAAAGTCACATTAAAAAAAAAAAAACCTTTTGCAGGTAATGACCCAAATAATTATTACTGTTAATATAAGACAAAGTGGTGCCACAGCTCAGGGACTTATCCCCAATTCAATCAGTTTTGTGACCATACCTCATTTAGCGACTTCAAGATTCTTCAGAAAGAAATACATGCAAGTGTTTCAGAACAACTGAAGTATCATTAACATTTTAATGTGACTGGATTACACTTACACACATAAAACTGTAATACAGAAAAGTACTTTAAAAATAAGCTTACTTTAAAGCAGATCAGAAATAACAGGAAGAAAGGATTTTAGCTGGAAATTTTAAGTTTGTTAGTTTCAAAGAGGGCAAGTAAGTGCTAAGGCTGCTGGAAGGCGAATTTCTTAAAAACAAAGGGGAAGGCAAACCATTTCAAAGCTACAGACTGAAGAAAGAACATCTGTGAGATATAACTAAAGAATATAGTTAGCTTTAAGATTTTTCTACTTTCGTAAGGTTATAGAAGCCAGAAAATTGGTTTGGGGAGGTAATACTATTAGAAAAAAAAGTACAGAATAAATTATTAAAGTATTTAAACACGCCCACAATGAAGCAGAACCTCAAAACTAATGATTTGCTATTACAGTACCCTTAATTGTAAAAATGGCAAAATTGTAAAATGCATCCAAAAAAACCCAAACTTTAAAAATGCTAAGACTCTGGGGGCTGGAGATTTATAGCTCAGCGGCACAGTGCCTGCCTGGCAAGCGCAAGGTCATGAGTTCGATTCCTGGTACCAGAAAAAAACAATTCTAAGACCCTAAGATACCATGCTATACATGGTATAGTCAACAACAGTTACTGGGCTCCCTAGGGAGACCCACAGTCCCACAGGATCTTCAAACCTGCGTGAGTGTACAGGCTTTGCTTTGCAGTGCTGCTGCTCAGACCCGGAGTCTTGACCACGCTGGGCAAGCACTCTACCACTAAAGGGTGGCCCTGATTCTGGACCACTTTAACACTGCCTCACTCCACACCTCAGCCATGTACTAGTAAGAACCACAAGATGTACCTTGGATATAAATCAGATCTCCCCCACTCATTCATCCTGAAGGTTCCACTTACTTATATTCTGATGCACCCCACTCAACCCATCCATCTCTAAGAATTTAGCCATCAATATTTACCAACTCTTTTACCTAACCTCCGGAGTTCCTTCCTTGGTGACTGACTTCTCACCTCTTCTCACTGCAGTATCTTTGATTTAAAAGCCACTAGGGTTTTTCCTCTTAAAATACCATTCCCCCACCTCCACCCTGCACTGCTAGAGAGCAAACCCAGTGCCTGGTACCTCCTAGGCAAATGCTGTACGTTTGAGTCATGTCCCCAGCCCTAAAATGCTTTCCGCCCAACTTTTATATGTCACTCACTACCTTACATAAATTTCCAATGATCTCCACCATCAAGAAGAAAATGGCGGTCGTGAGTTCGGTTCCCGGTACCGGAGAAAAACCAAAAAAAAAAAAAAAAAAAAAAAAAAGAAGAAAATGGCTTTTACCAGCTGGTCTCATTTCATACAGTCTTCAGACACCCAATTTTCCCCACCACCTTTTCACAATGTTCCTTTTATACATATATTTATTTAGGGAGTTGTAAGTAACAGTACCACACACAGCCCACGGGGCAGTGCTAACACCGGCATCTCCACCACTATCTCCATTGTCGTATCAAAATTCACAGTGGCTCCATCTGCTACTCACTGTTCCTGTCCCTATTACACAAATAAACACAGTGTGATTCACACAGGTTTAGTAACCTGCCCAAGGTAAACAGCAAATTTCAAGCTAGAATGTAAACCCGGTACTCTCACATCAAGCTTCTGCTTTTACTTTAACTCATACAATACGCTACTTCAAAAAGATATAAATACATCCCCTAAATTTGTCAGTATTTCTATAGATTAAATTAGCAAGATGGAATTATACCTTTAACCCTTTTACACCCATTTTAATTATTAAGTATTATTTTCACTAAAAATGGTTAACTTAAACATTATATTCAGAAGCCCTTTTACAAATACTATTTCTTGTATATTATGGTCAACAATTAGAAACAAACTTCTAAATGTACAAGTTTTGGAAATGAACACATAAGACAAGCCCAGCACAAATCAACAGCCTAGGGAATGCTGAATATTTTGTCACCATATCTCCAACTAAAGAATGATATAATGTACATATCAAATACATACCAAACAATCACAGTAGTAACTTTGTAAACACACAAATTATGCCAAAAATATATGCTATACAGAAAAGGACACTGTATATATTCATTTATGTCTTTAACACTTTCTGGATATAAACAGAATGTTAAATGGAAAAAGATAAGCCCAAAATGGGATGGTTTCTTTACATTGAAGGGAACTGCTCATCAAAGACAAGAAGTAGATTACTACTGATTTAAATAGCGTTGTACCACAAAGGAATCCTTAGTCAAATCAAAACAGAGAAAACTGAACAGAAACAAAAAACTTCAAACTTAAATGTCAATTAAATAAAATACAAATTTATGCTTTATTCACCCCCAAAAAAACCCTCCTTGTCAAGTGACCCTGAGATTCAGTGACTTAATTCTGATAGCTCATTCCAACTCATCCCATTAACTGAGTCTGTTAAATAACCATGAAAAAGAAAGTGATATGTTTTCTAAATCAAGTTACACAGGCTAACTGGTTGTGGGGTCCCAATGCGATGGGAGGCTGGAGAGAAAAAGCTACAAAAAAATGGCTTTTGCCCCAGATGGCTCCTCCTCAGTATTCTATAGCCATGACAAGGAGGTGGCCAAGGAGAGAAAACAAAGAGACTGAGAAAAAAGCAGCTGCTTTTGCTGCAGCACTAAGAGAAACAGACCCTAAGTCTGATTCTCAGGGCCCCAAGAACAACTCGACAACTGCATTCATCTGCTACTGATATTAAAAGCCAGGCCACCTCAAGAGGAACTGCCCTAAGAGGCCCCCTGGGCCATGCCCTGAATCGGAAGGTGACCACTGGAGATAGGTCTGCCCTCTGAAGCGGAGGCCCCAGAACTCAGACCCATCCTACCAGTTAGTCCAACAGGAATGAGGGGGCCCGGGGCATAGTCTGCCTTCTCCCTCTGGCCAGACTGTCATCTCCATGGAGGAGCCCTGGGTAATCATGACTATGGAGGAACAAAAAAACAGCCTGTTGCTAGACACAGGTGCTATTCTTTTCAATCCTGGCCTTCCTTCCAGCCGTCACACCTCAGTGAAAGAAGTCACTGGAGAGGAAGTAATATGCTATTTTTGACAGCCCTTAGGCTATAACTACTTGTTAGATCTTTCTTGGGTATCTCTGTCTTCCTGAGAAACTACTTTGAAGCTACTACCATGTCTTATAGCAGCCATTGATATTTTCTTACTAATCTGTCCATAACTCTGTAATGTTTGTATTGTTCCTATGCTATTTCGTAAATGTATGTATGTTTATTATTATGTGTTTCCTAGAGTAACCATTGAGAATAGTTAATGATTATTCAATTGGTCACTCATGTATAGCTCTATTTATTTTCTTTAGAAGCCACTTTGAAGATATCAAAGTATAGTACAATAACTATTGATAATCTCCTATCTCTTCTGTCTATAACTCACTATTATTTGTATATTTGTCTTCCTGAGAAACTATCTTGTAGATAACAATATGTAAAACACGATAATGATTGATAATTTCCTACTACTTTGTCTGTAATTTGGTAAGCACCCCCACGACTATTTTATCCTTCTTTTACTCTTTAAAATAAAAAAAAAAAATTAAAAAAAAAAAAGTTACACAGGCTTTTGAAAGTCTAGTTCAAGCAATCTATATAAGCTAGAGATAGAATGGAGTAAGGTTAGTAAGTCTAAAACAAATAAATATAAATGTCTTTAGGTTCAATTTATATTTTGATTTTGTTGTATCATAACTTCTCTGAAATGAAGTATATACATGAATTAAATTTTACTTATGCAAAATGATCTAAAACAATGGTCCTCACTTTATACACAACTGTATCTACTCACTGTTAGTCAACAGGGCACTTTAGCAGTCAATCTATCGAGGCTTGCATGTGTGAGAAAGGCACGTGGCGATGTCTGCTAGAATAAAATGGGCAAGGTCCTGGTGGCGCACAAATGTAATCCCAGCCCTTGGGAGGTTGAGGCAAAGGATCATTGCAAGTTTGAGACCAGCTTGGGCTACAAAGTGAGCTCAAGGCCAGCCTGAACTGCACAGCAAGACCCTGTGTCAAACACACACACACACACACACACACACACACACAGAGAGAGAGAGAGAGAGAGAGAGAGAGAGAGAGAGAGAGAGAGGTGGAAATCAAAAGCAAGCACCTGGAGAAAAGAAGAACTGATGTGACTTTTGGGAATTATTACTAGCCACTTAGCTTCAAACCTTTTTTAATCAAGCACACTTCATTTTCGCAAACAAATTAAGAGCCCTTTCTTTGAGGCAGAAAAATTTCTTTATATCTAAGTCACAGCATTTATAATGCAGTATTGTTTCACTAAGTGTGTTTTCTGTATGCAGTTCCTGAACACTACCATGTATGTGGTGCATTTTTCCCATCATATTGCCTAGTATGCCTTCTACTCCTTAGAAGATGTGGGAATGTTGGTTGAAATGCATTCAATCAAAATGAAACTCAAAATCCTTTATTAATTCTTACGGAATAAAAGATTCTGTTCATTCTATGTAAGCTCAATGTCTCTATTA